TGTTTGAGATAAAATCCCTGTTCTCAGAAGTGTAGGAGCTGCACCTCTGCCCCTGTGAGCCCTGTCCGCCCAGCTCCTGCAGCTGGCGGGGTAGCTTGCTTTACAAATGCTTTCCTCTTCCCCTCATGCTGAAAACTTGATTCTACCAAAACACTAATGCAGCGGCTGATTACCATCCCTGCAGTGACTTAGCTCTCTAATTCCTGCCAGTCAATGAAGCAGCCCAAAGAGCTGGTTTTCATAAGTTACTGAACGTATGAACACAGCCCCGGGGCCATCACATAACTGAGATTTTTTTTTCCCCCTGAGGAACTTCCAGATCCTTGTCAATTTCTGGAGATTTTTTTCACTCACAGGGCAGAAGGACCCTCCAAAGATGGAGTGAACAAGCAGGCCTGTCCCTGGGAGACACCAAGCAGGCACACAGGCCCAGGAGTCCAGCTGAGATGCCAGAGAAGGGATGATTGTCAGGAGAGTGGTTTGAAGGTAAAACTGGCGTCTTCCAGCTTGTGCTAGTGATTTTAGGACTCGGTTTGGATCTCTCCATATGTTTCTTCCTCCTAACATTGTCCACGCCTTGCAAAGGTTTTCTTGATCTGCTGGTTTGCACCCAGAAGGCTGTTGTAAAAATTGTCGTGCTGGCCAATGGCTTAGACCACATCATTCCTCCCCACACTCCTCCCTGGCTCCCTCTTTTCTCTGCCCCGATTGTAGGCTGCTCATCTTCCCTTTCCAAGCCCTTCATTATCCACCTCTCTTCCACCCATCATCTCTCATGCAACAGAGGCCGACTCCATTGCCCATTTCCAACAAGCCCCTTCACGCTCTCCCCTGCTCTGCTCTTCACACCTGGGAGAAACAGCCTCTGAGCATTTGCAAAGCCACCTCATTGCCCTGCTTTAAGCTCTTCTTTGCCATGACATCTGCAGAAACTTTCACTGTGACAGCTCTGCTGTTTGCCTACTATCAGCGCCTCATGGCTCCCTCACGCTCCCTCGTCTACCTGTGCCCCACTCTTGTCCTTTGCCAAACAGACTCCCTGAGGCTCTGGCTCTCCAGCACTCAGCAGAATGCGGTCCTCACCCAGTGGTGGGAGCTCCCCCAAAACAAGCTAAGCCAAGTTTGGGCCGGTGACTCCAGAGGTGAAACGATGCTTCATCTCCAGGTGCTGAATTTGGGGTGTAACAAGGTATGTTTTTGCCCTTCAAAGTGTGTTTTGTTGTCTGGCTGCAATGTAGTGGGACAAACCAAAATGCAAAGTGAAAAACAATTTTGGAGCAGGTAGAACTATGGCCAGTGTTTCCTATGGAAGTGAAAGCCATCGCAAAAGGAGAAATTCTTCCTCACCTCCTGCAACCCCCCCTCCTGTTACCATGGTGGGTTTGAATCGCCCCTCCAATGGCCTTTCATAACAGGGCACCTTAATCACTAGAGAAGGCGTCAGGCCTGGAAATACTGGGCCAGGCATGACAGGCTTGCGCCTCCCTGCCTGAAAACGCCTGAGCTGCAGCTGCCCCCTTGGCTGAAGCCTGATCCATGTCAGAGAGACGTCGTTGCTGCCAGTTCAGCATCAGCGTTCACTTCCCCACCGCCTGCTTGAGAGGAATTTGTTGCCTACTCCAGTAGGTATCTTTTTGGCAGTATTTCAGTCGTGGGTTCCTCTGTTTCACTTGAGTGGGAGATAGGCCAGGCCCCTGCCTGGATGCTGATGTCTTTACAACTCCCAGTTCCCTTACAGAAAATATTGACAGCGGAAAAACAGATGCTGAAAATGCGGCTGTGTTGGCTCGGCAGGCGTGGAGAGCCAGGCTGTCTCTCGATCACACCTCACTGTGATGTTGTTCCAGACAAGCAAGGAGTTTCCACACTGATAAAGGACCACAGAAAGCTCCCACAGATTTTGCCAGTCACCATGTCTCGTCTTGAAATCACGGCTCTGAACACAAGAGTCCAGTGAATTACCTGAAACCGATGTGGGGCTTTCCTGAAAAATCCCTCTGTATTACCCTAGCCTGACTAATCCTCTGGGTGTTGTTCTCAATAGCTGACTGCTCCTTCAGCCACCCCTCTCCAGACAGTGACAACTTGCGGGCAAGAAACAACAAAGGCCCAGTACAAGATTCTCTGGTGATAGTATGTGTGCTGATGGAAAGCGGTGGTGATTTCCAGACAATAATAGGGAGAAGGGGTAGGAAACCAGCCTCCAGCGGATGTGGTGTCTCTCGCCTCCCTGTTACGGGTTGAAGCTCTTATGTCTGAGCGCAATCAGACTGTCTGCATTGGGTCTGTTTGCACATGCTGCCATGAACCTGCAGCTGCACTTGCAGCATCACCATCGCTCTGCCTTGGTGAGCAAGCTCTCTGGAATTTCGTGGTAAAGGTGGAGAGGTTTCCCACAGGTTTCCCTTGGATTCAACACCTCTTCTCCATGCCCTCCTGCCAGGAAAAGGAATCTTCTTCCACAGGAAACTTCTCCTTTTCTGGACAAACATTTTTCCATTTCAGAGAGGTGAAAATGCCACACAGCTGAAATGAGACAGCAGGTCATCAGCATATTTCACTTGTTAATGACCTCCGGAAACATTCAGGATCTCTGCCTGGGGGCAGGTTCTATAGCAGAGGTGACAACAGGCTGTGATGAGGTCGTGGCAGGAAAACTACTTTTTCCTTCCAGAACAGGACGGGAGAAACACGCTCATATTTTTGGAAATCATTTAGTTTGTTACAGAAAAGCATAGGATGGAACTTCAGGCAGGTTGGCCAAAATATAGTAAACAGGGAGTAAGAACCGTTCAGTGGATCTGTCTGCTTAGGTATTTCAGTAATTCCCATCCCTGAAGTTTCTGTCCTGGCTTTGCAATTAGTTCAGAAAGCGGCTATATCGCCGGCTCTGACTACTGAGGATGAAAACCTGGTGTAAACAAGCATAAAACTGGGACAGCAAACTATGAGACTTATCAAAGAACGTTTAGACCCTTTGTATTTGCCTTCTGGTGTCCCAAGCAAGGCAGCTGCTGCGCGGTTCCTTCTCCCGCGCTCACCAGCCTCTTCCATGCGAGCAGCGATGCCGGTGGCGGTGCAGAAGAGGGACAGCTGGGCTCCCTGCACGGAGGGCGCGGGCTGAACTGCTTCTGCGCCCCGGGGAATCACAGCCCACTGTGTGTGTCCTGTCCACTTATGGGACAGGATGCGCTTGCGGCAGCCGCTCTGAGCAAAGCAAAAGGAGAAGCCTCCGCTCGACTACCTGTCCCCGCAGTTACCCGTGCCGTGCAAAACGGTCAACGACTTTGAGGCTCATTTCTGCTG